AGGAAACTAAACTTCATGGTGTCACCTTAGACTGTAAACTGTGATGGATAAGGCATATTGATTCAATTATATAGATGGGGAGAGGTCTGTCTGTGATGAAAAGATTCTCAGCATTTTTACACCACTGTCGACCAAACAAGTCCTGCAGGCTCTACTTTTATCTAATCTTGACTATTGCCTGGTGATATGGTCAAGTGCTGCAAAGAAGTACCTAGAAAAGACATGATGTACTGTCATTTCTAAAATATAAAGTATATTTTAATTTGTTTAACACTTTTTTGGTTACTACATGATTCCATAGGTGTTATTTTATAGTTTTGATGTCTTCACTATTATTCTACAATGTAGAAAATAGTAACAATAAAGAAAAACTCTGGAATGAGTAGGTGTGTCCAAACTTTTGACTGGTACTGTGTGTGTAACTGATAGATGCGCGCACACACACTACACACACACACACACACACACACACACACACACTACACACACAAACACTACACACACACACACAAACACCCACACACACACACACCAAACACTACACACACCAACACACACACTACACACACAAACACTACACACACACACACTACACACACAACACCACACACTGTAATCACAACGTAAGCACACACACCTTACACCGTACATAACTGACTAACATCCGTAATCTACATCCATAACAGCTCACATCTCCGACCCCCAAACACCTACCCACCACTCTGCACCCTCCTAATACCTACATACAACACACAAGCTCTTACCCAACATAAGTACGTGCAATTGCCCCAAACAGCTCACACGTCCACATTCAACCCTGACATCCCTGACGTATCCTACATCTAGTGCACAACCTCACACACACTCTACCAAAACAACTTTGCCTCTACAGAACGGTATTTTTTTTTTTGCATTTGTAATGTTTTCTTCGTATACTGTGTATATAGTCGTATTCTATTTCTGTTTTTAAATGTATTTTTGTCTGTAATGTCTCGGACCCCAGGAAGACTAGCTGTCACCATTGACGTCGGCTAATGGGGATCCTAATAAAATCGAAGTCTCTTTATAATTCTGTTACTGTGGAATTGCCCTTTGAATAAGGTGTGTACATGTGCACAGGTTCAACTCCTGGTCCTGGAGTGTATTTATTAGTGCAAACCGTGGCAAAACATTTTACAACTTTGCTCTACAGGAACGGGGGTTGGAGACCCCTGACATTGGCTATTCTGTGTTCTCCCTTTTCCCTTCCACGTCATGATAGGAATTCTAAGGCTGATAAGACTTGAGTTTGCAAATGACACCACTTTATCACCTGCTTACGACTGCTAGAGTGTTTTTGCAGTGACAGCTGGAGGGACGCACAGGTGCCACAGAAAGTGGGAGAGGTGTTGTCATATTTCATCAAGGCATCCCTCAGCAAAGCCATAATTAGCTAATTACCTAGTTAATTAGCCAATTAGCATTCCTCTATAGTTATGTAATGCTCTATACCAGTTGGGATTTCTAAGTGTCATGGTGCTAGAGTAGTAGGCTAGATAACAATTGTGTTTTCCTACTAGAAGCTAAAGGCGAAAGAAACGCACACCTATTTAGGCGAGGTGCTGGCTGACGGCGTAAAACACTTCAAAAAGAAAAGGAAAGCCGCACACTCTAGGAGCTCAGATGCAATAATTTAATATCTTAATAACCCTACTAGAAGCTAACATATTGTAGGTTTTGGATTCTCACGACTGTTTTGTGGTTGTTGAAGGAATTCGTATTGTATTCCACCTAGACTCTGAAACAGTCTCTGCCCCCTAGACTCTGAAACAGTCTCTGCCCCCTAGACTCTGAAACAGTCTCTGCTCCCTAGACTCTGAAACAGTCTCTGCTCCCTAGACTCTGAAACAGTCTCTGCTCCCTAGACTCTGAAACAGTCTCTGCTCCCTAGACTCTGAAACAGTCTCTGCTCCCTAGACTCTGAAACAGTCTCTGCTCCCTTTGTTCTACATGGGGTGTCTTCTTCTTCTACTTGATCTGATGCCATTTGTGATGAAATTGCCAGCCACAGATTTATGTAACCAAGGACAGAGTAGTCCTAGTTGGTGTGCAGCACATTTTCTTTGCATTAGGCTCTAGACTTAGATAGCCCACATAGGCTCTATCAACCATCCTTTTTGTTAGTGCTGATATCTTTTCTACAGATTTAGGCCTAGTAAACATTTCCCCATTGTATTCAGAATCAGAAAGGAATACATGACAAAGAAAAACATTTACTCCATTGTCTTTACTTAATGTCTTTATTTTACATTTATAATATAATATAATATGCCATTTAGCAGACGCTTTTATCCAAAGTGACTTACAGTCATGCGTGCATACATTTTTTGTGTATGGGTGGTCCCGGGGATCGAACCTACTACCTTGGCGTTACAAGCGCCGTGCTCTACCAGCTGAGCTACAGTGGACCACTGGTTCCCACCTTTTTTTAATTTCCTCTAGACCAGGGATGGGCAACTTTGATGGAGGTGGGGGCCACAAAAAAATCTGAACTCATCTTCCGAGCAAAACATTTTAGCGGTTCCCCTCGTGACAGGTGAAGACAACAAAAAAATATATATTCTAAAGTTTAAGAGTTAATTTCCTGCAACTCTACACATTTTGCCATGGGGCCGTGGGGAAAATGTTGCAGTTTTAAAGTAAGTTTGCTGCAATTCTACACCTTTTTCCATAGGGTGGAGAGAAGATTAAGCAATTTTCTAACTAATTTCATACAATTCATTTTTTTTTGCCATAGGGCGAAGAGAAAGAATTTTGGTTTTTAATATGATATCTGATGATCAATGGGCCCACCTCCTGGTCGGTAATTCGACCATGGTTACTACATGTTTAGATACACTATATATACAAAAGTATATGGACACCCCTTCAAATGAGTGGATTTGGCTTTTTCATCCGCACCCGTTGCTGACAGGTGTATAAAATCGAGCACACAGCCATGCAATCTCCATAGACAAACATTGGCAGTAGAATGGCCTCACTGAAGAGCTTGACTTTCAACGTGGCACTGTCATAGGATGCCACCTTTCCAACAAGTCAGTTCGTCAAAGTTCTGCTAGAGCTGCCCCGGTCAACTGTAAGTGCTGTTATTGTGAAGTGGAAATGTCTAGGAGCAACAACGGCTCAGCCGCGAAGTGGTAGGCCACACAAGCTCACGGAACGGGATCGCCGAGTGCTGAAGCGCTTAGCGCGTAAAATTAGTCTGTCCTCGGTTGCTACACTCAAAATTAGTCTGTCCTCGGTTGCTACACTCACTACCGAGTTCCAAACTGCCTCTGGAAGCAACGTCAGCACAATAACTGTTCGTCAGGAGCTTCATGAAATGGGTTTCCATGGCCGAGCAGCTGCACACAAGCCTAAGATGACCATGCGCAATGCCAAACATTGGCTGGAGTGGTGTAAAGCTCGCTGCCATTGAACTCTGGAGCAATGGAAGCGCGTTCTCTGGAGTGATTAATCACTCTTCACCATCTGGCAGTCTGTCGGACAAATCTGGGTTTGGCGTATGCCAGGAGAATGCTACCTGCCCGAATGCATAGTGCCAACTGTAAAGTTTGGTGGAGGAGGAATAATGGTCTGGGGCTGTTTTTCATGGTTCGGGCTAGGCCCCTTAGTTCCAGTGAAGGGGAATCTTAAAGCTACAGTGTAACAATGACATTCTAGACGATTCTGTGCTTCCAACTTTGTGACAACAGTTTTGGGAATGCCATTTCCTGTTTCAGCATTACAATGCCCCTAGCACAAAGTGAGTTCCATACAGAAATGGTTTGTCGAGATCAGTGTGGAAGAACTTGACTGGCCTGCACAGAGCCCTGACCTCAACCCCATCGAACACCTTTGGGATAAATTGGAAGGCCGACTGCAAGCCAGACCTAATCGCGCAACATTAGTGTCCAACCTCACTAATGCTCTTGTGGCTGAATGGAAGCAAGTCCCCGCAGCAATGTTCCAACATCTAGTGGAAAGCCTTCCCAGAAGAGTGGAGGCTGTTATAGCAGCAAATGAGGTAACCAACTCCATATTAATGCCCACGAGCAGGTGTCCACATACTTTTGGTCATGTAGTGTAGCTGGCCGCTAGACTGACATGGGCTAATTGAGTGACTGTCATAACAATAGAACAACTGCTGATGCACAACCAAATTTCCATATTGCACCTTGTGTATTCTATTATTCTAACTCTCAACAGTAAGTTGAGACCCCAACTGAGTTCCTAAAAAATTATTGATCTGTGGGCCTACAAAAAGGGGGGGGGGCGCTAGAAAGTAACAGGTTGTTTGCACTGGTGTAAATGCCTAGCTCTTAAACTGGTGTTAGTTAGCATCAGAAGAAATATGTTGAACGTGGCTAATGAATTGAATACATAATTTCCCCCCCCCCATCCTCAGATTGCATATTGTGGGGCAGACACTAATCTCTCTTAACTCTGGCCCAACAGGCTGGCACACATGTCCCATGGAGAGGAGGAAATAACCCCTAAGAGGAGGAGAAGAAGACCCCACTGACGGCTCCTGATTAAAAAGAGAGAGAGAGAGAGAGAGAGAGAGAGAGAGAGAGAGAGAGGAGAGAGAGAGAGAGAGAGAGAGAGAGAGATAGAGGATGAGAGAGAGAGAGAGAGCGAGAGAGAGATAGAGAGAGAGAGAAGAGAAGAGAGAGAGAGAGAGAGAGAGAGAAGGAGGAGAGAGAGACACACACACACCACCACAGATGAGACACACACCCACCGAGAGAGACACACACACACACACACAGAGAGGACACACACACAGAGAGAGACACACACACACACACAAGAGATGAGAACACACACAGAGAGACACACACACACACACACAGAATATACACACACACACACACACACACCACAACACACACACACACACAAATAGAACACACAACACACACACACAAGAGAGAGAAAGCAAGCACCCCACCCCCGAAACAGATACAAACCAGCGCAGAATGGCTTTCTTGGACAACCCAGCCATTATTTTGGCCCACATCCGGCAGTCCCATGTGACCAGCGATGACACGGGCATGTGTGAGATGGTGCTAATCGACCACGACGTGGATCTGGAGAAGTGGCAGCTGGCCTCGGTGCCCGGTAGCAGCGGGGGGTCACTGGGTTCAGGCTCCCTAGGCGAAGGGGGCAGCGGAGGGGAGAACCCGGGCAGCGACCTCTCCCAGTCATTGGACATCACCTCCAGCTGGGACTTTGGCATCCGCCGGCGCTCCAACACAGGTAAACAATGGGGCTCTGACTGTGGCAAGAGAACCAGTTAGTGAGCGAGCTGTTTGTGGGGCTGTCGTGTGGAATTCAGATCAGTGGTTTACTCACATAGGCTAGTTGGCCAATGGGGTGGTGCTTCTTGTTGTAGAAGGCAGCAATACAACAGGTTGATGCTGTATGTTTAATAAAGAGACTGCTGAGCAGGTTGGGGTCAGTTCCTAATTAGCCTTGTGAATGAATTGCAGAAGTCCACATAGAAAATAGTCATTCTCTTTCTGAATTAATTGGAATAGAATTGACCCCAGCCCTGCTGTAAAGTCTGTCTTTGAAAATCACATGTATTACCCCATGAACAAGCTTGTATAAAACACCAGGGCAGTATGAATGTTGTAAATAATTATACAATTAGAGTAAATACATTTTTATCTCTGACAAAAGCCTAGTGTTAATCAGATGTGGGTTTCAAAAGTATTTTGTTTTCTTACAAGTACTTTGAGCATTTGCCTGCTTGGAGCGCTAGGTGGGTGGGGTTTACACTTTTGGAACTTTTCCATTGGTTCCCTTACAATCAGGCAAGCTCAATCAAGCGCCACTAAAGTATTTGAAAGGAAACAAATACTAGTTGAACCCAGGCTTGGGGTTTATTGACCATGTTACCCCAGAGGAATTATTTAGGTTGGGTGCACCAAGCAGAACTCAGAACAATTAGGCCTAGTGGCTGTGAAAGTGGTCTTTGACAGAGCCTGCTTGGTTCACTCTGCTCATTTATTGTCCCTGGGCTTGTGATTTTCAGAGGTGGACGTTTAGGTTTTTACACGTTTACGTTGAATGCTTCATTGGTCATCGGTAAACATAGCATTGATTTGTATTGCCAAAGAGCTCTAATTTTGTTTCATTGGTCCGGAGAACATTTCCCCAGGATTTAGGCTTGTTTCGGTGGGTTTTTGCAACGTTCAATGGGGGGGGGGGTTCTTGTCTCTTTCAGCAGTGGGGTCTAATCTCCCGAGTGGCGCAGTGGTCTAAGGCACTGCATCGCAGTGCTAGCTGTGCCACTAGTGATCCTGGTTCGAATCCAGGCTCTGTCGTAGCCGGCCGCGACCGGGAGACCCATGGGGCGGCGCACAATTGGCCTAGCGTCGTCCAGGGTAGGGGAGGGAATGGCCGGCAGGGGGTGTAGCTCAGTTGGTAGAGCATGGCGTTTGCAACGCCAGGGTTGTGGGTTCGATAAAATAATGTATGCGCTAACTGTAAGTCGCTCTGGATAAGAGCGTCTGCTAAATGACTAAAATGTAAATGTAAATGTCTTCCTATGTTTTACAACGACCAAATGAAGCGTTCAAAGAAAATAACACCCTCCCTACAATCAAACATGGGGGCGGTTCGATAATGCCGTGGGGTTGCTTTGCTGCCTCTGGTACTTGGGGGCCTTGAACGTGTGCAAGACATTAGGATATAAGCAGATTATCAAGGTGTTTTTGAGTGCAATTTTCAACCCAGTGTCCAAAAACTGGGTCTCTGTTGAAGTTTGTGGACCTTCCAGCAGGACAACAACCCAAACAAACATCAAAAAGCACCCAGGAATGGTTCAAGAATTAACATTGGACTGTTCTGGAGTGGCCAACGATGAGTTCAGATCTAAATCCCATCAAAAGCATTTATCAGAAGGCACCACTCAAACATTGACAAATTGGAGCAGTTTGCAGCTGAAGAGTGGGCCAAATTGCCAGCAGAAAGGTGCAGCATGGCTCATTGATGGCTACAAGAAGCATTTGTCTGCAGTTGTCTTCACCAAAGGCTGTTTGTTTAACCAAGTACTAGCTCTTGGTTGCCAATAATTGTGTCAATACCATTGGTTTTTATTTTCTTAATTCTAATTGTAATCTTAAATTTCCCCCCCCCAAAAAAAAACCATTTCTGCAATGTTGACAAAAGTTATTTTTTAAAAAAAATTCAACTCATTTGAGAAGAAATAGGGAATTATTTAAGAAAAGTGCAAGGGTGCCACTGGCAATATATCTGTCCGCTACTGTAAGTGCTTTGCCCAGTGCTTGAAGCGAGACATTGGGCAGTGCCACTTTGTAGTGCTACATGTGAAAAAACACTGCTATACTGAGGAGGACTCTTATTTTGTAAACGATTTCACACCAATGTCAGGATGGGGGTAGGCTGTGTGTGAAGTAGGGAGGAGTTCATTGGACCTGTAACCTTCCCTCTTGGTAGATTTCCAGTTCAAGTCTCAGAACTTATTAGCCAAGAAATTAAACCGTGCTGTACTCGGTACAGTGAGTGCTGATTTGGTTGTGTCTGAAAATCAAACGGGCAATAATATGTTTTCATGGAGTAATTAAAGTTTGGGTTCACGGCTCCCGAGGCATGCCTTCATGGTCTACAACGTTATTCTTCATAGTGTTTTTCTTTAAGGCTTTCCACTTCTCTTGATTTTATGGACGGTTGGCACAGCAGTTGTGGGCAGAGGCCATGGTAATCAGGGGATCGCCGGGGCTTGATTTGTATGTAAATGATGCTTTTGTTCGCTCTATTGCCCAAATGAAAAAGATTGTTTAAAAAAAAAAAAAAAATGCCTCTTGTTGTTAACCCTTTAACTCATGGACACCAGCTCTTGAGGACCTTGAAAGGGTTATCAATGAAGGTTTATCAATGAAGGGTTATCAATGAATGGTTATCAATGAAGGGTTCTCTGTAAAGGTAGGCTGATGGATAAGGCATAACATGTTATTGAGTAGCCACGGGGAATACTGTGTTATTCAATGAAGGTACATTATTATGAGCACACGATTGATGGAGTGAGATTCAAGCCCATGATATTATGTATTCAACCTTTACAGGGACAGGGTACAGTAACCATTAATTACTATTAATGCACAGAGCTGGGACATTTTTTTTTATTGAAGGGAGAATTTAGTCAGCCCACCAAATTGATGGGAATAGCCTCATTTGTTTCTACAGTGGTACTGTGTCAAACGCGACCCTCAAGGTTATCTAGCTAGCTAAGCTAATTGTCTTCACCAATGTGTTACTCATACACACTATGCAATATAGGCGAGCCGTAAACCTCCGCCATTTCCATGATGTGGGTTCACGTCAGTCAGGAGGATGCTTGTGTGCTAGGAATCCCTTTAAAGGCAGAGGTGGGCATGGTGGGTTTGTATGGAATTAGCTGGGAACCAATGAGAGTTAAAATGCCCGGAGCACAACTTGATCCATTGTGAGGTGCTTGGGTTTACTGCCAGAATCAGAGGGAGTCCAAAGGCATCTGAAGTCTGGCTAGACGATCTCCTTTTGGCTCCCTTGGCTCCTGTTGTGTTTGGGGAAGCGGTGGTGTTTTGGGGTCTGAGTGTTCTTCTGCTGAGACTTCACCTGAAGTGGCTGACTGTCTCACCAGGACGTCAACAAGAAAGGCGCGAGAAACCAGGGGTGGCTGGTAAGAAGACAAGTCTATATAAAACCTGGTACAAAACGTTTTTATAGACAAAACGAAAGTGTGACTGTTTGACTCTGGACTGCCTGAAGTGTCTAGTTGTATTTCTATAATGTAGATGTATAGATCTATTTGTTTTATTTCTATAATGTAGATGTATAGATCTATTTGTTTTATTTCTATAATGTAGATGTGTAGATCTATGTGTTTTATTTCTATAATGTACATGTATAGATGTATGCCCCAGGAAGACCCCCCCCCCCCAGGTAACTGCCACTGCTGCTGAAAAAAAATCCTAGGGGAAACATTGGGTAGGGTGGGGGGGTGGTCATCTGTGTTGGGCGGACAGGTTTGACACTGCCCAGCGAGAGTGTTTCTCGTCCCCCTCCAGTGTTCCTCGTAGCATATCTCACACCTCCCGAGATGTTGTTTACCATCAGTGTCCACAGTGTTCCCTTGCGTCAAATGTACTTTAAATAAACTTCAGTTTCTGTTTTCCCTCTCCTAGTGTGACTGCATGACCCTGACCAATGACAATGGTCAAAAAAATGAGAAGAATGACTTTTGTTGGTCTGGCCTTTTTTTTTTTTAATCCTTGTTTTATTTTCTTATTTTTTAAAGCTCAAAGACTTGAAAGGTTAAGGAAGGAGCGACAGAACCAGATCAAATGCAAAAACATTCAATGGAAGGAGAGGTCGTCTTCGCAATCAGGTACACTACATTTCTCCTTCTCTCCAGAAATATTTGCTGATAGGAGTTTCAATGAGGTAAAAGCTGACAGGAGTTTCAATGAGGTAAAAGCTGACAGGAGTTTCAATGGGGCAAAATCTGATAGGAGTTTCAATGGGGTAAAAGCTGATAGGAGTTTCAATGGGGTAAAAGCTGATAGGAGTTTCAATGGGGTAAAAGCTGATAGGAGTTTCAATGGGTCAAAAGCTGATAGGAGTTTCAATGGGGTAAAAGCTGATAGGAGTTTCAATGGGGTAAAAGCTGATAGGAGTTTCAATGGGGTAAAAGCTGATAGGAGTTTCAATGCAGTAAAAGCTTCAATGATCCTTTCTTTACACTGATCTCAGACAACTACAGTGCTGCATAGGGAATTTTCATGGAACCAGGGAATGGTTATTTTGCTTTGATCAATCTCCACATGTGATGTCACAAAATCCGATAGCATGTTACAGAAACTGTCACACCTACGCTATGTAGTGAAATGTACTACTATACAATGTATAGGCCTAATGCTAAAGTCCTGTTTGACTTGAAATCCTGGCACAATCAATAACGTCAGAGAGAATATGAATACGTTGTTCGATCACTCTCTGTTTGCCGTCAACACTTCATTTTTCTGTCCCAGCGGAAGACCTGGGTTCCCTGTTTGAGAAGAGGGACTTCAAAGATAGGCCCAGGAGCACTGGTACCAAGTCAACCCTCTCCCTCCGGCTCGAGCAATGCCCCCAGCAGCTCAACAACCCTTTCAACGAATACTCCAAATTCGACGGCAAGGTAGGTGCTCCCAGGTGTCTGGTAACATATCTCTGATTTGGATAAAACGATGCTGAATTAGTTAATGTATCTTGAAAGCATGAAAATGTATTTCTTTTTTGTTGTACTGCAAAGAAAGACAAATCAAGTTTGATGCCAACCGGTATCATGTTTCACGTGCATACAAAATAAACTAGCAAACGTTCGCTCCTGCTCTCTAAACCTAAAGATTTAGCTTATTTTCTTTTTCTGATTCCTCCCCAGATGCATCAGGCCTTTTTCCCTGCTATGGCAATGTCATTTACAAGCACTTAGGCAGTAATTCCAAAACTTGGGAACCATCTCCGAATGTATATTGCAATTTTGGAGCAGCTTCTCATCGCTAATGGCGCAGGCGAAAGTCTCTGAAGGCTTTGTGACCTTATTTCTGTCATTTTGCTCTTAGACATGATCCAGAGGAAAGAGCACACTGGGAGAATTGTGTGTCGAATAAATGTCAGGGTGAATTGCTCGGGCCTTTTACAGGGATTTGTGGAAAAGAGCAAAGGTCGCGGCAAAGTGCCTTGGCAGCTCGCAGACAACCTGGTGGCTCAGATTAAACAAATAGCCTTTGATTCATGCCAAAGACGGCCTCTGCTGACGGAACCAGGGGACGAGCCTGCCTTAGCCTCTGCAATATCCCCCAATATTAGAAATAATATTTACATTACAGATGACCTTTTATAATCCACCATCTCTTGTCTCCAGTTTTCCACGTTGGTTTATGGGTTTAAATGTATATGAGCTGTGTTAACAGTACGTCAGTGAAATATGATTCAGAAATCCACCTCACTTTTTTTCGTTGATACGTTCTTTTCGTTCAGCAATGAGGTAGTTGGTGTCTCTCTTTTTGTCTCTCCAAGACATCTGGTTGCAGATTAGCCAAGTTTGCTCGAAGACACGTATCTCTCCCGTCACCAGTGACAGTAACGGCTGGTCTTCCGTCGGTCGCAAAGACGTCAGGTTTACAGTTGCACTTTTTGGAGCGGGAAGATGAGCGCTTTTAATGCGGCTTGCGTTCATTTGGGTCGGCGTGTACGAGGCCGGGTGGCGTCGGTCGCAGATAAAGATTCATTGCGGCGGTTTGATTTAATGCCCGAGTAATGAGAGGCGTCCATGTGCTCGGGCAGATGTTTACACAGACCTCGCCCGCCCGGCTCTGACAGCAGTTAAAAAGTATAGTCGCCGTAATCGAATCTCGTGGCGGGCCGCATCAGGGAGGAGGACACAGATCGAATTAAACTGCATTTTAAGATTAATGTGCAGACAGGTAGAGTACAGAGCGATGGGGTTCTTTTTTTATCCCCCCCCCCCCACAGTGTTTTTTCACCCGTTCTTTGCATTTCCTGGAGGTAGGTCTTCCTAGAACTGTTTACTAGTGAGTAAATCCCCAAGAGCAATGGAAGTCAATGAAGTATTTTCTCTGGACTGCATCTTTTATTACACTCTTTCCCAGTAATACTGAATCATAGAAAATATTTAGACGTTTTTATTTTATCCCCTTGTTCTTTTGTCAGTGGAGATTAAAAGGAGAGCAAGAGAGAAGCGATCATTAAGCCTCATCTGCATTTTCAAGGCTATCTCAGGAAATAATCGAACACGCTGTTAAATTGCTCAGAAATATTACCCCCCCCCACCCCTGTTTTTATACCATTTTGTGGTGGTGACAGGATAATGGTTGCGAATGGGACTATTGTTATTCTCTAGAAAATAAACCTATTAAGATTTGAAGACATACTGTAACCTGACTTGTTGACCACCAATGCCGTTTTTACATGGTTTCATAAGACTCTTATTCACTTTGAATAATCTCTCCACAAGGAGAAGCCCTTTATATTGTCAGGTAGTCTGTTGCCACAGAGCTATATTTAGGGAACTGTGTGTCTGACTCTTATTGATGTGTACATGTGACACGCACGATGGACTTTCTTTTCACATACACACTCCTCCCTCCCAACCAGCCCCCTAACCAGAGCCATGTACACTCCTTCCTCCTCCCTCCCAACCAGCCCCCTAACCAGAGCCATGTACACTCCTTCCCCTCCCTCCCAACCAGCCCCCTAACCAGAGCCATGTACACTCCTTCCTCCTCCCTCCCAACCAGCCCCCTAACCAGAGCCATGTACACGCCTTCCTCCTCCCTCCCAACCAGCCCCCTAACCAGAGCCATGTACACTCCTTCCTCCTCCCTCCCAACCAGCCCCCTAGCCAGAGCCATACACACTCCTTCCTCCTCCCTCCCAACCAGCCCCCTAACCAGAGCCATGTACACTCCTTCCTCCTCCCTCCCAACCAGCCCCCTAACCAGAGCCATGTACACTCCTTCCCCTCCCTCCCAACTTGCCCCCTAGCTAGTCCTCTCAACAATTAATATATATATATATTTTTACATTTTAGTCATTTAGACTTACAGTTTAGTGAGTGCATACATTTTTCATACTACGCCCCCCGTGGGAATCGAACCCACAACTCTGGCGTTGCAAACGCCATGCTCTACCAACTGAGCTACAGGAGGCCTAATAGACACCAAAGCTACCGGCTAGCCCAACGCTAAGTTCATTGGATATTATTAACCACGGACCTCAGTGGTTAAACAGCAGGCCGAAGGCCCCGAGGACCTGTAAGAGACCCACCACTTAAAACTGTCACTTCCAAAGGAGGCCTCAGAGTACCTCTGACCTACAGTTCATCACACGTTGTCATCGTTCAGGGGAGGTGCTCAGCACAAAGGCACGGAACCCAAAGCACCGCCGGTCAGACGGGGAGAATTGATCTGCTCATTACCTACCGGCACCAACTCTTCCCTTTTAACGAAGGGGTGAAATTAAAGCTGCTACATGGCGGGAGGGGCAGGGTGGCAGCTAGCTTCAAGGACCTTTCGTCGGATGGGAGTTGGAAAAGATTGCACAGTTCACCTGTCTAGTTTCCTATCGGCGTCTTTGCTTCTCTTCTGTGAAGTCTGTTATCTTTTGCTCTACCTAGGTGTCGAATGGGTTCTAAAGCTGGTCCCTCTGCACACATGAGTAGAGAAGAGCTCCATGAAGCTGGTCTATTACTTTAGAAAATGGAGAGTACACCCAACTTCAATGGGACTTGACATTTTTCTCTCGCCACGTAATCTGTCCAGATCCTCTTCGTTTCGCTCAATGAGCTGTGAATGACTGATGCCTGAGTGAAATATATATCTCCAGCAGCCAAAGAGGGACTGACATCCTCCATTTCGATACTACAGGTGACACTCATTAACTGGAAAAGTTAGAGATATTCTAGAGGAACACAATCAGTGGCCGTAGATTTGAAAATAATTTTAACCTGTTGAAAAGATATGGAGGGTAGGAGTTACCAGTAGCATACCTCAAACATAACACCAAAAACAGTGTGAAAACATAGGTTATACAGAAGGACCATGGTTTGTCAAGGACATCCCGGGGTCGAAAAACACGCACTGAGCAACTGAACCCCACTCTGCTCCGTAGACAGGAGGGAAGACTGCGTACAAGACAAAGCAAGCAGCAAAAATAATAGACATTGGCACCTGTGCACACGGCATGGTCCGCCTGGGGGTGGGGCTGCTCGTCTACTTCCCCGACCCTTCCCCCAACACATCAAGGCCCCTAGCCTCCCCATCCTGACATTACCATAGCAACCGTCCTGAGACTGTAGCCCGGCGACACAGGGACCAACTCATTACGGTGATGATTAGTGAAATGGAGTCCGTGTATTTGATTAATCATCACCATGGATACAGAAAACATTGCGATCACTTTTAACGGAACAAATACCTCTGGAGACTTCTTAAGGATTAATTGATGGTGGCACCGATGCATATTTCTCTTCAATGGTGGCCGCTAACACTCCAGGTTCTTTTCATTTTTACATTAAAGACAGTTTGATGGCCTTTCTTTTTTTGGTTGACGATTTGCATCACTTGAGAAATGAACCCATGCATAGTGATGCAAGATGTTTTTCATTGTGGAGCATATCGATTGGACAAGTCCACTCATTGATTGGATGAGTGGTTGTGATATGACATGAGTGGGCTATACCATGGCATGCACTGTAAACTGTTTGTTCTCAAAGCCCAGTTGTTAAACATCAAGGTACTGTGTTAGCTGATTAAAGCAGACACTTCAGAACTAAGGCTGACTAGACACTATACGACTAGACACTATTTTTGGCCATTCTGCGGGTTCTCACTTAGCATTTCTCAAATCGCATACAAACGGCTTGGGGAGAGGGGGGGGGGGGACGACGACGACATTAAATCGCAAAGTGTAAGCATTTCCCCGATTTTGAGATTGATAGGTTTTACGCCCCCCCCGCTCTGATTTTCTGACATGTTTGGTAGTGCTCTGATCAGATGCGAGGCGTGTCAGAAATGAATCTGGTGTCAGCCAATCAGCTCCTCGAAACTACCGTAAAACGTCCATTCTTTTATAATTGCCGGGCATTGTTTCACATTTTAACAAATAAACAGATCGAATCAAACGTGTAATAACGCATGCACATATCCTCTCCGGTGGAATCTAACAGCATCTTTATCTTGCGCTGCATGATTGATTTCTGCCATGTCAAAACGCAAGGCTGTCCATCACTTTTTTGTCATGTAATAGACCAAGAAGTGCGTTTTAAATGCAATCAGTGTTTTAAATATCAAACTGGCTTGATGACAGAACTTATTATTGACAGACGCCAGGGCATCTCCGCAGTTGAGGCAAAAAAACACCTGGGCTAGTAATTTAAGTTTTACGACTGAGAAGTTCACCGAAGTTTATCACAACAATGCCACGTGTGCGAACTCGACTGTTCAGCCCGATGATGGGAATCACTCTACTCATATATGTGTCGCTAGGTGTAGCCTACGTCTCATACTGATAACCAGCTCAGTACAGTCTGGTGAAAGGTACTCCGAGGTTAAGATTGTAAAACCGTCTAGTGTTCAGAAGTGTTTTTTTATTTTTTTTAATCTACGAACATTACAAGCTCATTTAAGTTGTTTTAAGAGGGCTGCTGACATA